GCTGGTCTAGAGAGTTCTTTAAAATCTTCCAGCTCATCCATATTAGATTAAAACAAAGATAACAGATCTGAGGTTCAGCCCAGACTACTGGCATCAGCCAGCCAGATGGCTCTGAGGAGCCAGAACATCCTCCACAGCAGCAACGATGTTTAGCCTTCGGTTACTTATTAAGCTCTCTCCATGGGCAGAGAACTTAAGCTTGGCCAATGATGATCACAACTTTGCTTAGCTTTGTTACAGTTATTGAACACAACCATTTAGATGACAAATACAACATCTCAAAACAATCAGCTTCTATTCTTTCTTTTTCCCCTAAATAATCTGCCAAACCTTGAATTAACCTGCTTCATTCTAAGTGAAAGTCCTATGCCACATACCTTGAAATTATATATATATATATATATCTACATGTATATTTATATGCATATTTACATACATATATAATCACATGCATACATATATATTTTTTAATTTTAAAAAAATCCTGAGATCCTTGTCCTCCTCCCAATTCCATTCTGCTGCCTAAGAACAGAGTTCCACATGGAATGGATTTTCATTTCTTTGTGGCCAGGTTTGAATAAATGGCTTTCCATTCTACACAATAAGAACTGGGCACCTCTGCTTTTTAAACTGAATGAATAGAAGATTTGGATTGCGAAAAATAATAATACTGTATATGGAATGAGGGAATGTGAGCACTTCATATTCTAAATAGAATTCTTTCAGTTGAAAAAATCCCCAGCTATTTTTTGTCAATTTTGTTCTCTTATTTCCCTCCCCTAGATAAGACACAGCTGAATTCCTCTAGGCAGCAAAATCACTGCCTGCCTGGTTTGGCCGCGAGTCAATCTGAGATCAGCTCAAAACCAGCCACAACCTCCAAACTCATCCTTGTCTGAGGATGTTGTGCATACATTTTCAGGTGTCTTCTTGGTGTCTATGCCATTTTATCCTCAGAGTAACACTGTCCCAGCAGTGCTTCAGGCAACCTTCTGCAGCTTTACCACTGGACTACGCATTTTAAAAAGCCAACAGGTTTCTGCCATCTCTGCTACATGCCTGAAGGTTTGAAGGGAGCAGAGAAGAGCTGGACATACTAACACCCTTTTCTTTATGTGTGTATATCATACTAATCAGCGCTATTTATAGCATTATTATGGGAAACGCTGTGCTAGGTGCTTTACATACATTAATTTCTAATGAGCCCTAACAACCTTTTCAAGTGTATATTCATATTGTTCTCTACATTTATACAAGAAATTTGAGAGTTATAAACAATAATTTGTCAAGGGTACTCAGTTAATAACTGACATTGTGTTCAGGCCAGATATGTCTGCCTCCCTGGCCTAAGCCTAACACTGGTTGTCTGATAAACTAAATCTCATGAACTTCATCACTGAACTATTCAAAGTGCTAATGATCCCAACAACAACAGAATGAGTGGTGGCTGACTGAATGTAACTAATTTTTGTTGCCCTCCCCCCTCCCCACCTTAGAGAGAGACTGTTAATTATACATAGCACAAAATTCCAGGGTTCTTGCCACCTGCATACAATGTCTAAAATTAGAGATGCAGGAATTTATTTCTAGGCTTAATATGAAAATAGTGTCCCTGGATTCCTTTCAAGAGTTATCACAAAGTAATTTGGGAGGAAATACAGTTGGATGAGCAGATAAAAGCATGTCCCAAATGCAACCACCTACTTATAGATTTGAGTGATCCAGTTATGAGGCTAGGAACTAGTCCCACCGAAAAGAGAGGTGCATTGATGCAAGAAAAATAACCAACAGTTACAGTCCATTCTAACACCTGAAATGTAAGTGAGCACAGTCCCATTGAGTGAAACTACAGAACGGGGACCACAGAACCGAAGTGTTGCAAGAGCCCCCAAAGTCCTATACCATTTCCAGTGCAGTAAACATGCATGGCCAACTTATCAATCATTACATCAGCTTTTCAGCAAACTTAAAATTGTCATAAAGTTGCTGAAACTCCAAAACTTAATTTATATCCACACTTTCTTATTTTAAAATGCTTAGGCATCTCCATTTTTTTAAATATGTTTTCATGGATTTGAGAGAGGAAGGGAGAGAGATAGAGAGAAACATCGATGAAAGAGAAACATCAATTGGATGCTTCCTCCACTCCCCAGCTATTTTTTCCAGTCAATTTTGTTCTCTTATTTCCCTTCCCTAGATAAGACACAGCTGAATTCCTCCAGGCAGCAAAATCAAGCACAAAACCCGGAGATGTGCCCTGACTGGGAACTGAACCAGTAACCTCTTGGTTCATGGGTTGATGCTCAACAACTGAGCAACACCAGCTGAGCTTTAAAAAATTTTAGTGGAAAGTCTGGGTTCCTCTTTACTCAACTTGTTCCTATTCTCATGTTGGGGACCTACAGTTTACAGAGTTCATTCCTATTTTCTATATTTCTCAGGGCAAGGAACTTTAAAAAACAGTAGTAAGTTTAGGATAGTAAATGCGAAGTAGAAAAATGTTACTTATTCATCAACCTATATTTGCTCTTTGATACAATCATGTTCAATGAATATTAGTTCTTTGTAGGCAGACACTGTAAACATTTGAATGAAAAAAATTCTATTTGAAAATTCTTTCTATTTGAGATCATATGTTAGGACTAAATTGAAAATTTATTTCTGACACCTGTTCATTATCCATAATGAGATTTTGGTGCTTTTCCCTCCTAGCTTCATTCAGACATGGACAGGGGCGATGGATCCATCAAATACATCCTCTCTGGAGAAGGTGCAGGCATCGTGTTTACCATCGACGACACCACTGGGGACATTCATGCCATTCAGAGGCTTGACCGAGAGGAAAGGGCTCAGTACACTTTAAGGGCTCAAGCCCTAGACAGGCGGACAGGCAGGCCAATGGAGCCGGAGTCAGAGTTCATCATCAAAATCCAAGACATCAATGACAATGAGCCCAAGTTTCTGGATGGACCTTATATTGCCAATGTGCCAGAAATGTCACCAGTGGGTAAGATGCAATTCACTGATTCTCATAGAGTGATAGCTCGATAGACGGTTCTTCTATCTAAATACAGAAAAGAAGAGTGTGCAGAATAGCCCACAAACTATGAAACTGAACCAAAAGTGACAATCAAGTCCTTAGGCAGGACACTACCTAAACACTGAAAACAGCCATAGTAAAATATAAAATAAATAACAAGGCTAGTGTTGTTATCCAGTTCTAGTTCTTCAAAATCAAAGATGGATGGATGGATGGATGGATGGATGATGTTTGGTTCATAAAAGCAAAGCATTTTGGTATAATTAAAAGAGTAATGAAGAACCAAAAACCTGTGTTGTCCGTACTGGTTATTAAGAATTTAAAACATAATTGCCATCCCTAATTTCCAAAGAGGTACAAGATAGGAGTTACAGAAGCTTGACCTAGAAACGGACCCATCCAAGGAAGCAAACATAACATTAGCAAATGCTTTAAGACTGCCCATTCGGGATTGTGTCAGCCTTTAGCAATTCAATTTGAACAGGTTTCCACTCTCTCTCTTTCCTCAGGGACCTCTGTTATCCAAGTGACAGCCACCGATGCTGATGACCCAACCTATGGCAACAGTGCCCGGGTAGTGTACAGCATTCTCCAGGGCCAACCATACTTTTCTGTGGACTCCAAGACAGGTATTTAATGCAACAGTCAAGTCAGGTGTGTTTGGGGTTTTTTTTATTTGTTTGTTTGTTTGTTTTTAAATATATTTTATTGATTTTTTACAGAGAGGAAGGGAGAGGGATAGAGAGTTAGAAACATCGATGAGAGAGAAACATCGATCAGCTGCCTCCTGCACACCCCCTACTAGAGATGAGCCCACAACCCAGGTATATGCCCTTGACCGGAATCGAATCCAGGACCCTTCAGTCCACAGGCCGATGCTCTATCCACCGAGCCAAACCAGTTAGGGCAGGGTGTTTGTTTTATTCCCTAATAATTTATAACTGCTACTATGACAGACCCAACTCTCCTTTCAAGGACTCTCCAGTGAGTGTAATAACCAGAGAAGATTGTTATAAGCTTTGGGATTAAGACAGCAAAAAAAAGAGGGTAAGAGCAGTGCAGTGCTATGTATAGACCAGCCGTGGGCAAACTACAGCCCACAGTGTACAGAGCATGATTGGAGAGACCAAAAGGCCTGCCTACACATAATTACCTTCTCATTAGCCTTCAAAAAATCCTATGGTTGTATTTATTACCAGGGATTAAGGTCTTTTATAACGCTAAGAACTAAGAGGATTGACACATTAACCTGGCTCAATATAGAACCAGAATCATTGATTTTGAAACTAGAAAGAACCTGTAGAGAATTCATCCAATCTATCACCATTCACTTACTAGATAAGAAAATTGGAAATTAAGACCTAAAAACGTGCTTCTAGTTGTAGGCATGTCCCCTGACATGTAGTCTGATTTCTTTCGACTGAACCACCCTGTACTAAGCAGAGAAAAAGGCCAGAATGAATGGACGCTGGTTTAATAAGGGAAAAGGGTGCAGAGCAAAAGATGTTACCCGCCTCTTCTCCCCCCGCCCCCCACCCAAAAAAAAGCCATATGCTGAGAGGAAGCTCTAAGACAGTGGTTCTCAACCTTCCTAATGCCGCGACCCTTTAATAGAGTTCCTCATGTTGTGTGACCCCCAATTTCATTGTTACAAATTGAACATATCAAAGCATAGTAATCACAGAAACAATATGTAATTATATATGTGTTTTCCAATGGTCTTAGGCGATACCTGTGAAAGGGTCGTTTGACCCCCCAAAGGGGTCGCGACCCATAGGTTGAGAACCGCTGCTCCAATAGGAAGAACAGCACAGAGAGCTGGGTAGGCAAGGAGCAATGTGGCAAAAAGGACAAATCAATGGAAGCTTGGTTTCGTTTTGTTTTGTTTTCAGCTTAACTGAGAGTTTTCAATGCAGAATTTGTTTTATCTGTGAAGAAGCCCCTTTAATACTTCTGAATTGGGCAGAATAATGAGTATATACTTATTATCTTGAACTTGTGCCAGACTTTCTCCCTTTTAAAATACTTCCACATCTGAGTCTCCAGATATTCCTGTGAACTTGTGAAACATATGGAAGTGTTGTTATTCCCATTTTACATACGAGAAAATTGAGGCCCTAAATAACAAGGAACTTGAGTAAAGAAACTTACAGCTGCAGAGGTAAAGTCAATGGTGCATGCTCAAAGTCATCTCTTTATTAGAAAGAGAAAAAATGCATTTCTATTAGCAACCTGACACTTTTTTTTCTCCCCAGAAGTCCTAAGGGGAACCAGGCATTCAGAAAATCATATCATAAAAGTAAAAAGTGAAAGACTGTAAATTAGTAGGAGGAAAGAAAAAAGATTATAGTTAAGGACTTCTATAAAGCAGTAACTTTAACAATTCTAAACATGGGGAAGAGTATAAGGGTGCCACAGGGAGGGAAAGTATAGACAGGAAGAGGGTAATGTGTCCTTTGTATCTTAAGAGGAGCCTTACATTATTTTGACAGCTCCCAGGGGGCATTTTTAGTGTTAAGGTAAAAAATACATGAAAAGATAGTTATTGCTGTGCCCATAGGGCATTTTAAAAAAAGAAAAAGCTGCATATTTCACTTTAGAATGTTGTTACTAAAGTGCAGTATATACATTATAAGAGTTAAACTTCGGACTGGTTTATGGTCCCAATCTCTTCCCTTAGCATGTAAAGGTCTATTTAGCCAAGGGTCATGTTGTAAACTTTCAGTAAACAATTCCTGGATCTTTGCCTAGGGTTTAAAAAAAGGTAGATAAAACATGACCACACATCCTTGGCAGGATCAAAACACAGTTCACTGGAGTTTGATTTAGACCCCCTTAATGAAAGTATTAGCACTGTGCAATGCTGCTTCTTACTGTCTGGGGAAGTTCATTTCTTATGCATGTTCAACATAAACAACTCACAGAGCAACTTTCATGTCCTAGCTGGAATTCAATGAGGCACAGATGCTAGCAGTATATAACAAAACAGAATGAATATACAACAAAAGGAAAATCAAATTAGAATTCCAACCCTGCTTACAGGTATTGGGGAAGCAGGAAAAAGCAGACTAGGAGTGAGTTCCCTAAAGAAGAGTCCTTCATTCGACAAGGGCTCTCGGGGCTGAAGAAGAATTGATCTAAAATCACAGATTTGTGGAAGAGATCCAACCAATGAACTTGTATGCATATATGCATAACCCTGGACACGGACAATGGGGTGATGAGGATGGAAGGTGGGAGGGGTTGAAGGGGTGGTTGGGAGAGGGCTAGAAGAGGTTACTGAGAGGTTAACAGGGGGGAAAGGAGGACCTATGTAATACTTGCAACAATAAAGATTTTTTTAAATAAATTAAATAAAATCATAGATTTGCAGACACATGGCTGTTTTCTGGGCCCTAAGCCCCGTTTCCTTTAGGGCAGTGGTTCTCAACCTTCTGGCCCTTTAAATACAGTTCCTCATGTTGTGACCCAACCATAAAATTATTTTCGTTGCTACTTCGTAACTGTAATGTTGCTACTGTTATGAATCGTAATGTAAATATCTGATATGCAGGATGGTCTTAGGCGACCCCTGTGAAAGGGTCGTTCGACCGCCAAAGGGGTCTCGACCCACAGGTTGAGAACCGCTGCTTTAGGGCCATGGAGCAGCCTGACAGCGCCATGACTGCTAGCTCAAATCTGTCAGAGAACCGTTGCTGCCACCTCCTGTTATATCTCAGTAATGCAGACAGAGGAAATCAGCCCTCTGCTCTTCCCACTGGAACTGCATTTATTAATCATTTGTGTAAGAACAGCACTTTCCTGAAGCTGGGATTCTGACACCAAGTTCAATAAAATACAGGTGAACTTGCATCTCGACTCTAGATATTAACAATGTACAAGGGAGAAACCTAGAACCCAATCTTAAGAACTGGACTTGAGGTTTTATTTTTAAAAACAGTCATTTCACCCTAGTTGGTCTTTCTCAGTGGTTACAGCATCAGCCTGCACCCCTGAAAGGGCCCCAGGTTTGATTCCCAATCAAAGGCCCATAGATGGTTGTGGATTCCCTCACCATCCCTAGTCCAGGCACGTGTGGGAAGCAACCAGTCGATGTCTCTCTCACATCGATGTCTGTCTCTGTCTCTGTCTCTGTCTCTGTCTCTCTCGCTCTCTCTCTCCCTCTCCCTCTCCTTCTCCCTCTCCCTTTCCCTCCCTCCCTTCCTCCCTTCTTTTCTCTCTTCCATTCTCTCTGAAAAGCAAAAAAATATCCTCAGGTGAGGATTAACAAAAAAAAAATTAAAAACCAAACAAAATCAGAAAATTTCTATCCTACAGGTGTAATTAGGACGGCACTCACAAACATGGACCGAGAAGCCAAAGAGTACTATGAAGTGATTATTCAAGCTAAGGACATGGGAGGGCAGCTTGGAGGATTATCTGGGACCACAACTGTCAACATCACCCTCTCAGATGTCAATGACAACCCACCCCGCTTTCCCCAGAGTGAGTATCTAACCAATGAGAGTACAGGTTCTCAGGCCAGAGGGGTCACTTGTTACAGAGATGAAAGAGAAAGACCTGGGTTCCTCTTTAAGTTTAATTATTCATGGTTCCTGCCCTACACTTATCATGCAATTCTCACATAACCATTTCCCTTCTCTGTCCCGTAGCACTAAATCAGTGTTTCTTACTTTTTTCACTATCACCTCCCTAGGAGCTCTTTTATACTTTTTTTTCCTAATTGTCATGCCCTGCCCCTTCATAAAATTAAATATGAAGGAATTAAGTTTTATTGAGTAATTGTGAGCCATTGTATTATCTAAGGTTTTTTCAACTCTCCCTCAACAAGAACCAATTTCTGTCCCTAGAGGGTGATACTCCCGGCTTAGAATACACACAGGAAACTAAACCAAAGTAGTGACCCACCTCACCACCTAACCAATCAATTCACAAGCAGGTATGAAGTACCTGCTTTGTAAGGGCATTGGGCATGAGGGACACAAGATACTTGAAACCCAGGCCTGGGTTTCTACACTCATCAAAAGTTAACCAAGAAGCAGTATTTGCTGTACCACTTGCTTAAGGCAGAATGAAGCCTTCACAATTAACTACGATGAATAAAGGCTTCATAAAAGGATGAGACCTCAAAAGGGGGCTGAAGAATATAAAGCATGTAAACAGGCAGAAAGGAGAACATTCCAAAAAGGAGAAGCCATTCATTCAAAAATTATTTGGTTTAGGCACTCTTCTTCGTATGGGATATAGAACAATACATAAAAGAAATGAAATCTCTGCTCTCCTAGAGCTCATTCAAATAGAAATATGAATATAAGGATAGAAATGTATATAAAGACTTCGAAATAAAGTTGCAAGTATAATTTTATGTTTAATGAAATGAAGACCTGTCTTTTGTGTTTCAAAAGTGTTTTATGTCCAATGGAAGTCACTGACAAGTTTTTGAGCAAGGATAGACACAAAAGAAAGCCTAGTTACAGAGCCATGCATAGGTTGGCAGGGCTGGAAACTAGAAGCAGGAGAGTCCATTAGAAGGCTTTGAGAGCGATCCAGATGTGAAGCAGTAAGGACTTAAGGAAAAGGCAGAAGGAGAGAACTGAGACAAATAAGAAAACATGGATTTCTGCTTCTTGATTCCTTGGCTAGCCAAGTGGGCCACCACCAATGTTTTTCCTATCTTTCTCAGAAGGAATTAGCATTTGGGGAAATAGTTCCTTAGGAAGAACTGAAATATTGAAAAGCAAGATACTTCTTACCACTCTGAAAGGAAGATTCACTGAGATAAGAAATAATTTTGGGCCTGGCCAGCATGGCTCAGTGGTTGAGCTTCTACTTATGAACCAGAAGGTCATAGTTTGATTCTCTGTCAGGGCACATGCCTGGGTTGTGGGCTTGATCCCCGGTGTCGGTGTGCAGGAGGCAGCTGATCAATGATTCTCTCTCATCAGTGATATTTCTATCTCTATCTCCCTCTCCCTTCTTCTCTGGAATCAAAAATATTTTTTTTTTAAAAAAAGAAAGAATTCTGGTTTGTCCTAGCCTACTCTTAGGATTACAGTCAAGCTACTTTGGCCCCTCCTTTCCAAATGTCTAGTAGAGTCTGACCTAATACCATTTGTTTAGCCTCTTCGGACCTCAGTTTTCATCTGTAAAACTCAAGTTTTAGCTGTTGAACCAGGAGAAAGATGTTTAGTACAGTATGCCTTATATGGTGGGATACTGATGAGGCATTTTTTATAGTGGCAGATTACAAGACTACAGGTTCTAACCTTTCTTCACAGAACATTATCAGATGAGTGTATTGGAATCAGCTCCTGTTAGCTCCACTGTGGGGAGAGTGTTTGCCAAGGACTTGGACGAAGGAATCAATGCAGAGATGAAGTACACTATTGTGGATGGAGATGGTGCTGATGCCTTTGACATTAACACAGATCCCAATTTCCAAGTGGGCATCATAACTGTGAAGAAGGTAATCCAAATCATTTTAATGGAGTCTTTGAACTGTATATGAGATGTTAGCAAGGGCTGTTGTACTATTAATATGTATTACTTCAAATCCTATGATAAGCACTCTTTTCTACCATTAAAAACAAAACAAAAAACCCTTATTCCTTTTGCTTACATGTGAACACTAGCTGTGTCATCATTTTACAGAGACGGTATAAGGTCGTGATCAAAATAAATTATAAATATGTCATTTCTCCTAGCTCACTACTTAGCCACTTAAAAAACTGTTATAGCTTAATTCCCTAATGATGTTAAGGACTTAATATTTGTATTTGAATAACTTATTTTTTACCACAGTATTCCATAAATAACAATAAAGCATTTATGAATCAAGAAGCAATATGTAGTGATTTTTAATTGCTATTTAAAGATCCACAGACACTAATTAGACCTGGAAAAGCTTTATCAAAGATAGCTGCTAAGTGAGATTATCCCTTAAAACTCCTTTGCTTCATGTTAAGGCACCAAGTTTTCTGAGTATAAGCTATCAATTTTGTGAGTGTGTGGTATAAAGCACATAAGAGTGAATATCTTTAGATGAAAAATAAAACTTTTTTAAATTAAAGTTTTAACATCTTAGTAAATATATATCTAAGGAAATACATTAATGCAAAAACTCATTGATTTAACCTTCCTTCTCTTCTATTTTAAATACATAAAAAACCCAAGATATCTTAAATTATTCATTCAACACATATTTGTTGAGTGTCTACCTATGTGCCAGGTATTACTCTAGGCATTTAATGTAGAGAGTAAATAAAATAGCCAAAAAATCTCTGCGCTCATGGAAGAGGAAGAAAATACTCAAAAGAGCAAGTAAGTCAATAAATTAATATATTAGAAAGTGTTAAGTGCCAAGGGGAGGGGTAGAATAGAACAAAAGTGGTATCAGAAGAGCCAAAATGACTTTAAATTTAAATCAGGTGGTTGGGATTGGCCCCCCCAGAGAAGTGATGTTTAGGCAAAGACTTACTTACGGGGGAAGAGTTACAGCATCACGTTGGGCAGGTTGACAATACACAACCCTGGGAGATGCCCTATAAATGACTTTTGGTAAGAACTGCATATGGCAGCCGGGAGATAAGGAAATGAGAATGAAGATATTGAGGAAAGGGGACAACAAATGCAAAGGCCCTGAGGCAGGATTTTGCTTGGTTTGTTTCAAGAACAGGAAGTTTGATAAGACTGAGTGGAGGAGAAGACTAGTGGAAAATGAAAAAATTCAGACAAGTAACAAGAGGGCCAGATTGTGTAAGACTTTATAAGCCAATGTAAGGACATCGAGTCTTACTCTGAGAAAAGTGGAAACAACTAGGGGACTTCAACAAATGTGTGACATGATTGAACTTTCATTACAAAAAAGTTATTCTGTAGGTTCTGTTGAGAAAAGAACATAGGGGCAAGGATGGGAACAGAGAGACCAGCTGAAAGGCTACTGCAATAATACACATAGGAGAGGATGGTGGCTTAGCCTCGGGTAGTAGAAATGAAGGTGGTGAGAAGCAATCAGAATCTGGATATATTTTGAAGGTAGAGCCAACAGAATTTCCTAACAGATTGAATGTGGATATGAAAGAAAGAGAAGAGTCAATTGAGCAACAAGAATAAAGTTGCCATTAACTGAGATGGGAAGTCTACAAGTAGAGAAGGTGGCAGGGGGAGGCAAATGTTGGATTAAGTTCTGGACATGATACATTTGCAATGCCTGTTAGACACCAAGTGGAGATGTGTAATAGCTGTTGGTTACAGAAGTCTGGATTTTGGAGAATAGTCTTGGGCTGGAAATATTAAATGTGAAAGTTATAAGCAAATAGATGGTTTTAAAGAAAATAATATAGGATGATATTCCAAGGGACT